AAACAAACAACCGTGTCACGCTCATCGGCTGAAGCAGAATATCGAGCCATGGCAAACGCTTGTGCTGAGCTTCGTTGGATCCGCGGCCTTCTTGGAGCCCTATCCGTGACGTGCGTCGCCATCCCCAAGCTCTACTGTGACAATAAATCTGCATTATTCATTGCTGCCAATCCCGTATTTCATGAACGCTCCAAACACATTGATATTGATTGCCATATTATTCGTGAGTGTCTCCTCCGTCAGCACGTCGTTACGGCCTACGTTCCTACTCGTCTTCAGATTGCTGACATTTTTACAAAGGCACTTTCTGGCCCACTCTTCCGAAATCTGCTATCCAAGTTGGGCATTATTGATCTTCATGCTCCAACTTGAGGGGGCGTATTGGAATATGTTTGTACATATCTCATCTTAATTTGTTTCCTTGTAGAAGTAGGACTCCATATATGTTTCCTAATATGTTTTGGAAACTATTGTTGTATATATACACATGTAGATTGTATCCACAAACAAGTCATTCAATTCTAAAATTCTACAAGTTAAGCACTTATCCAGGCCAGAATAAAGCTAGAGAGAGCACAAGCAGTAGGAAATATATATATATATATATATATATATATATATATATATATATATGGAGAGTCATGGTAAATTCATCTAGATTTTATACTCTGCATATGTTTTTTTATTTAATCTTATGAATTTTAAATTTTATTCTTTAATTTATCAAAAACATGATTTTCTGATGTGAAGGATCCCAAATTAGGGCAATCATAGAGCATACTTCTCATAGTTTTGAAAAAATATTTTATAAAATATATAAAGAATATCTTGATGAAATATACCTCGTACAAGAACAAAGTTTTTGGGATTTTGAGCAAATTCGTGCTGATAACGTGTTATAAAACGAGGAAAAAACTACTCAGAGATTATGAATATAAATATGATATGTTTCTGATTTCTTCTATCTATTGATTCTTCACTCTTCTTCTTGTTCTTAAATGGTGATTTGCAGGGATCCTAAGCCTCTTATTTATAGTAGAGAGGCTTAGTGCTAACACTATTACAAATAGTATACATACTATACAAATGACAACTTGATGGTGATGATGGACAATTTGTTTCTGCAACTTATGATGGAGTATGACCTAATTAATTGATAAATGAACAATTCATATTTTTCTTAACAATATGACTTTTTTTCTAAAATCACCAATACATATAAATACCCTAGAAGAAGAGAACAAGAATCAGAATATATTTCTCCATCATAATATCTCTACATCTTTGCCCTAATTATTTTTTTTTTGAAATCAAATTTCAATATCATTCCAATAAATGAAAAATACAATCCGGGGGAGATGTATTCCACGTAGAAGATTGAGTTATCGCACTACGAGCAAGTGTATGAGCGATACCATTAGCTTCCCGAGGAATATGAGAAACCAATGCCGAATTAAACTGAGCTAGAAGAGCCTTACAATCTTTTATTATAGTTCCAAGATAAGAAAAAACCTGGATGTTTCTTTCACAAAGAGCTTCCACAACCCACCTGCAATCCGTAAGGAGCTCCACGTCTTGGATCTCGTTAGCTCTAGCCCAGGTAAGAGCTTCTCTACATGCCATAGCCTCTGCCATCACTGGTTCTAATAAGGGACATTGCATCATTCCATTTATAGCAGCATAGAAGGAACCTCCCGGATTAAAGATGACGCTCCCAAAAGCGACCTCTTTAGAGGAAGGGAATATGGCTGCATCCACATAACATCGAAAGACTCTGTGCTCTGATCTCGAGGAAACTTGCATCGACTCCTATCTTCCACTTTGACCAGGTCTGTTTGGCGGATATAGTAAGGCTTCTCTCACCCAGCTTACCACAGATTGCGGTGAAGGGATGTAATGATCCCAAACCGCCTTGTTTCTGGCTCTCCAAATTGCCCATATACCTCCGGCTACCAACTTAAGCTCCTTAACAGAAAGCTTTGAAAATTGGAATTCCATCCATTCAACCAATGATTGTTTTTGTACAAGATGACAGGACCATCCCAATAAGTTCCAGACTCCAATAGCCAAAGGACAATGAAGAAATATATGATCAATGGTTTCTGTAGCACCGCCACAAACTAGACATTCAATCTCGATCTCCATGCCTTTGGTAATCAACGCCACCTTGACCGGAAGGATATTTCTAATTGTACGCCAAAGGCAGATTCTAATTTTAGGAGCAATTGGAATCTGCCATATCTGGCCCCATCGAGAGAAACAAGGAGTTGACGTAGCTTCGTCAACCAATCGACGATAAGCCTCTTTGACGGAGTACTCCCCATGCGTCTCTCCTGCCTAATACCATTTGTCTTCACTATCTAGTTGAAGTGGCACCCTACTGATCTGGTCCATATCTCTGGGGCAAAATAAGCTTTGCACAACCTCTAAATTCCATCCACCTGCATCACGATTCAACAAGAAACAAACAGGAAGATTAGGCATAAAAGGTGTTCGGGGAGTGAGAATAAAGGGATTCACCCTAACGGCCAGCCAAAGATCTCCCCACACAAGAGTGTTAGATCCGTCTCCAATCTGCTTCCTCACTCCATCTGAAATCAAATTTTTTGCTTCCAGTATGCTACTCCAACAGTAGCTTGGATTACTTCCCAACTGGGCTTCCAGGAATGATGTTTTCGGAAAGTACCTAGCTTTGAATACTTTAGTCACAAGTGCTTCCGGTTTCGTTAAGAGTTGCCATCCTTGTTTACCTATCATGGCCACGTTGAATTCACGTATTTGTTTAAAACCTAATCCCCCGAACTTCTTGGGGGCCGATAGTCGCTGCCAAGACATCCAATGAATACCTGAAGAGTTAATTCTTTTACTCTCCCACCAAAAGGAGTTCAAAAGGCGCTCAATTCTCTAGCAAGTAAAACGAGGCAAAAGGAATACACTCATCGCATATAAAGGCATTGCCTGAGCCACTGTTTTCAATAGGATCTCCTTCCCAGCTTTGGATAGCAACTTCTTTCCCCAACCCCGAATCCGACATCGAATTTTATCTTCAATACAAGAGAACACTCTTAATTTATCTCTTCTCAAAAAAGAGGGTAGCCCGAAATACTTACCAAAATTCTCTGCCTGGACAACCACAAAAACCGAAGCAAGAGGCTGCCGAACCTGAGGAGTGGTGTTCAAACTAAAACAGATACTAGATTTATTGAAGTTTACCAACTGCCCTAAGATACGCTCGTACTCGGTGAGACATTGTTTCACCTGCCCAGCCTCCTCATCCGATGCCTTAAAGAATAGCAAGCTATCGTCTGCAAAGAACAAATGGGTTACGGGAGGAGCTCCCCTGGCCACTCTAATACCATGAATCAGCCTCTTCCTTTCAGCCTCCTTCAACATCAAAGAAAGACCCTCCACACATAATATAAACAAATATGGCCTGAGGGGGTCTCCTTGACGAAGTCCCCTGGTGGGAACCAACTCATCTGTAAGAGCGCCATTTACAAGAACACGATAGCGGACGGAAGCAACACAAAGTGTAACACCCTAATCCGTCCAGGTCTGCAGCCCCTTTCGGACTAAAGATTGGTAATCGTAAAATTTAAAACTTTTCAAACACTTTTATTTATCACGATAATATTTTTCGTAACATATACAGTGCGGAGTTTTCAATATTGCGGAAGCTTAACAAATCATAATTACAAACATAATTTATTTACGTTCTTTAATTCAAAACCATCACATCCATTCCGACAATCTCGCCTCCGTCTGCCTCCAGAATCACGTCACATCATTCTTTCTATTAACCAGCGTGTAGCAAATAAAACATACTACACGCTCAGCGGTGAAGCTGAGTAAGCATATCTAAAGCGTCGAACATCCACATAAATTGAATCTCATTTCACAAACAAACATTTGATATCATGCACACAATATATAAATTACTCATGATATTCAATAATCAACATTAATATTCAATATTCAACATTCAACAATATCCTTAAACTATGCTTAGTCTAAGGCCAATCTTTTGATGTTTTACCAACTCTTAAACTAATTCTAGTTCAAGGTACTTCTATCCAACTCTTAAACTAATTCTAGTTTAAGGTACTTCTAACCAACTCTTAAACTAGGTCCTTAGTTTAAGGTACATATTTTCGATTGATTTACCAACTCTTAAACTAGCCTTCGCTTAAGGTACAAATCCAGAAAACCGAACAGTAGAATACTAACTGTCGAGTCTGGTGGTATCCCCAAACGAGTTCCTCTAGTTTGGTTTATGGATCCCGTACGTACGTTTTTACCCAAGGCCACCGAATATACATAATTATACCCGCAAGTCTCATTCTAATCAGAGGTCTATCTTAGAGGTCTTCTAAGTAGCCTTAACAATACAATTCATTGATTCATTATTCTCAATTTAATAATTCATGGTCGTCATTCAGAATATTCATCATCATTAATTCATCACAATCCATAATCAAACAATAATCATAATATTTAATTTTAATAACAAATAGCGGCCTAGCATCGAGTGTTAACACCCGAACTTACCGTCATGCATCACATAATGTTTTATATGTCAAAACATCATTTTTATTGTACAAAATCATATTTATATTATTCATAATTAATTGGTATCAAAAATAGGATTTCATAGTTCAAAAATCATATTTTCTAAACAATAATTGATTAATATATGATAGGAAATTCAATTATTAACTATTAGCTTTATTTTCTTCAATAGTGTAGGGAAACAGTCTACTGTCACTTCTGATAATCTACTGTCTGATGTTCAGAATGGGCTGATAATCGATTATCACACTCTGATAATCGATTATCAAACTTCAGAAAGGGCTGATAGTCGATTGTCACATTCCGACAGTCGACTGTTGCTCAGCTCTGTTCCAAAAATCAGCAGAACAAGCTATAGTCGATTTTTAAGTTGATAGTCAACTATTCATCGTCTTCTACCTCGAGTCAACTTGCGGAAATGTCATTTTTACTCTCCAAACTTCAATTAAAGTATATAAAAATGTTCTCCAAGGTTCGTAGATAATTTTGGCATCATTAATTCATAGTTTTAACATCAAAATCATGGTTTGTGATTCTTAGTTCTTCAAGCATGTCAAACACAAAACTCAACCAAATGACGATTTATAAACATAGAAACGACCTATATGAACATTCTAGTCATTAGATATATCTACGGGCTTACCTCGAAGCTTAACGGGGTTTTTGGAAATTTTCCGACGATAACTCTTAGCTCCGGTGATTCCACACCAAATTGACAGCACCACAACACTCCTTACACTCAAGGCTACCTCTTAGAAGAAATTTGAGGGAGAATGATGAAGAAATGAGGAAGAGAGGTCTTCCTTATATATTGGTGAAGAAGAAGAAGCTAATGGACTTGAGTCAGTGGTGACTCACGATCGGCGAAATGGGAAGGTCGGCTGATTTAGTCTGATTGCTACGACTCTTCCCTGATTGGGACTAATTTGGCCCCAGTCGGGGTACACTTTTTGGTCCAACTTTCTCCGAATTGAAATCTATTTGCATCGTCGCGATCAGAAATTCGAGCTTTATTCAACGATATAATTTTCATATTTATTTGTAATACTTTTTCCGACATCATATTTTTGAGTGTTTGACTTTGACAGAGTGAAAATTGGTTTATTTGACCTTTATTCAAAAAGGTTCTCACATTTAATTCATATCATTTGTTCTAATGATTTATTTCAATAAATCATTTTAAAGTTCATATTATAAATAATTTCTTCATTTATTCTTGATTTGGGTCTGTACTCAGGTTCCCAATCAAGACCACACAAATAGTCAATATATTGGATTTATCTCTATGAGATTTATCCAGATTAAGATATTGGATATCAAACACATACTACTTACTTGTTGTTTTTTTGTTTTAATAAGAGGAAAATAATTATATAAATACTCATAGAAATTCAAAATTTTACAATAATTCTCTCAAAATCAAATAAAGACTCCAATTCTCCTAAAAGTATATTCTCGTTGCACGTTACTATATTTGACTGAAATTATTTTTAAAGTATTTTATATGAAAAATGGTGTGAAATTAAAAAATAAAAATTACATATTAAAAACTAATATAGTAATATGTAAAAATAATTTTTTTAGTAATATTATAGATTAATTAATGGAGCTTAATTGGCATCTTAAGTAGTTTTTTATATTTTAATAAAAAATATCCCTCTGTCCAAAAATTATCTTCTCATTCACTATCAAGAGTATTAACAAGATCGAATTTTTTTACTTTGCTTATCTATTTTAATTATGTATTTGATAAAATAATATAATTATATCATTACTAGTTTTATAGATCTTATAATGTAATTTTTAGATATATAATTTTATTTTTTGATTTCACACCACTTTTATTAAAATCATAACACGTAAAAGGAAGATATTTTTTAGAGTACTGGAATCTTTATTTGGTTTTGAGAAATTATTGTAAAATTTTGAATTTCAGAGAGTATTTATACAATTTTTTTCTCCTATTAAAACAAAAAGAACAACTAAGATATCAACTAAGCATAATTACTTACATGTAAGTAGAGCTGGAAAATCGGTCGGTCAGGTCGGGTTCGGGTTCGGTCACTTCAAGTTCGGGTTATTTCGGGTTCGGGTCAATTCGGGTTCGGGTTGAGAACTGTATGTTCATGACCCAGNATCTATAAAATTGATTTATTTTAAACTCTGAAGTAATTTTTTAGATGTATAAATCAATATAAGGAATTTAAAATGCTTAAGTTTTGGAAAAAAGTAAGATAATTATGCAATATCATTAAAATTTTCTCTGCAAATATAAATTTGTACACTAAAAACGAGTAGTAAAGTGTATGATTTTGAAAAATTCTTACTTTAGCGGGTCGGTCAGGTCGGGTTCGGGTTCGGTCGGGTTTGACCCATTTTTAGCGGGTCATTTCGGGTTCGGTCATCAAAACCATTTTTTGTCAAAAACAGGTCGGGTCATTTTTTGCCAGGTCTACATGTAAGCATAAGAAAAGCTGATTATGAATAATGGGAGTAGCAATGTAAACTTATAGTTTAATTGGGAGCACCAGAGTCTTTTATTAAATTTGGGAGTATTATTGTAAAATTTCAAATTTTTGAGAATATTTATATCAATTTTTCCATTATTTTAATCAAAACAAATTTGATTAATTTATTATTTATTTATTAATAATTCTAGGGTATGTTTTGGGGCGTTACACAAAGCATAACAAGTTCAATCCATCGACTATCAAAACCTAGTTTCTCCATCATTTTGCGGAGAAAGCCCCACTCCACCCGGTCATATGCCTTTGCCATATCGAGCTTTAATCCCACCCATCCCGTCAAACCCAACTGCTTTCTGTGTAAGTAATGTCCCATTTCTACAGCTAGTAAAATGTTATCCGAAATAAGTCTACCTGGGAGGAACGCAAATTGATTATCCGAGATAACATGTTGCAACAAGGGTTTAAGGCGATTTGCCACCATCTTGGATATAGTCTTATATGTAGTATTGCATAAGGCAATGGGTCGGAGATCTGCCACAGTCTTAGGGGTTTGCTTCTTGGGGATCAACACTAGCGTGGTATCGTTCATTCCGTCAGAAAATAAGCACTCCTTAATACACTTCAAAACAAACTGCGTGACATCAGAACCCACTGTCTCCCAACTTTTTTGATAAAAACCAGGGTTCATACCGTCCGGTCCATGGGACTTATCCGGATGCATGGTAAAGAGAGCTTCATTCACCTCACTTTCCTCGAACGGGCGAAGCAAACCAGTATTTTGCTCCACAGAAATACATGGTGTAAGGGAGTCCAAAAAACCTGAATTAGCCGCCCCATTAGAGTGAAATAGACTGTTATAATTATCTCTCACTAAACTCATTAAATTTGGACCCTCACACCACTTGCCATTCGGAGCCATCAGGCCATGAATTTGATTTTTCCTTCTACGGTAAGAGGCATATTGATGGAAGAAACGAGTGTTCCTATCTCCCGCACAAAGCCAGTGCTGCTTTGCTCGTTGTTTCGAGTATATGTCCTCCTGATCAAGCAATTTAGAGAGTTCCTTATCTGCTTTATTAAGAATTTGACACCCCTCCTCATCACGACGCTTGCGGACCCTCTGAATTAAGTCACACAACTCCTTCCTCCGCTTGCCAAATCTTTGGAACTTGTCGCCTCCCCACTCACTAAGCTTCCTGACACAAAACTGCAATCTGTCTTGAAAAGGCATCTCAACTGACCCCTGCCAAGCAGCTTTAAGAACCTCTTTAAACCCTTCTTCTCTAAGCCATGCATTTTCAAATCGATATTGATTTCTCCGAATATGAAGTGTCGGGCCCAAAAGACTCAAATACAGAGCCGAGTGGTCAGACCAATGCATAAAGTGATTGAAGACACAAGCTCGATCAAAAATCTGTTGCCAAGATTTCGTGGCCACCGCTCTGTCAAGACGTTCTTCTATCCAGTTATCAGTACCCCGACCCCTTTCCCAGGTAAAAGGGTGTCCCCTCATTCCCAAATCGAATAAGCCACATTCACATAAAGTGTCATTAAATCCTGTGAGGAGCGCAAGAGGATGGGGGCTGCCCCCCTTCTTATCTCCAGCGGCACACATATCATTGAAATCTCCAATCACCAACCATGGCAACAAAGACTTATGCTTGAGAGAGCGTATCAAATTCCAAGATGGCTGCCTCTGATCCCTTGGGGGTTCCCATAAAAACCAGTCAATCTCCATGTTGGCATATTCTTTATTGAAACAGAAATATCCACATGATAACAAGAATAACTAATAAGGTTGGCTATGTTCTTCTCCTTCCACAGTAATACTAGACCCCCACTCAATCCCACACTGTCCACAAAGAATAAACCCTCAAAACCTAGCTTCAAGCACAATTCTTTTGCCTTGCTTCTTGAGCCTTTTGTTTCCATAAAAAATATAAAATCGAGCTTTTTGGCGGCTGCTAATTCAGCCACTTCTTTAACTGTCTGTCGGTTGCCCAACCCACGACAGTTCCAGCTAATGATGCTCATTGATCCTAGAGGGTCTGGAAACCAGCACCCGCCCCAAACAAGTTTTTTGAACTATCATCCATCAAGGTTTCATTGGCAACAACATTAAATCCCACCTTGTTCCCCCTTTTACGTTTAGTTGCCAACGCAAGGGATATGTCATCTTCAGTCCCAGAGCTTTCACCAACCGACTGTAGTTTTGCCAACTGCCCCACATTAACAGGGTCTACACGCCTGATCCATTGCTCTCCAACTGATAAGAGAGCCTTCTTTCCCCCTGCCTTGAGTGACTCATCATAAAGGTAGCTCTCCGGGGCCAAAGAGGAAAGAAGTGCTGCACGACAGTGCTTCGCCAAATGCCCAAGGATGCCACAATAGTAACAGAAAAGAGTAATCCTCTCATATTTGAAGAGAACCCACACTACAGAGCCATCCCTCTTCGTTAGCTTCATCTTTCGTTTCAACGGTTTACGAACATCAATGGCCACACGCACCCGAAAGAATCCTTGGAAAGCTTTAAAAGTATTGGCTACATAAATCTTACGAAATTGACCCAAAAACTTACCCACTGCCTCAAGAACTGCTGGGGAAGTATACCCTGGAGGAAGGTAATGCACTTGAACCCAGAGCTCTAGCCACTGTAAATCTGCAGCTGTGACCGTTTCTCCAGGCTGAACAAGGCGACACAGAAGCATATTGTTCTCAAATGACCAAGGTCCTTCATCAAGTATACGTTTGGCATCCTTCTCATGGTAAAAGTAGAACCAAATCAGCCATCCTTCGCCTTGTTTGAATCTTACCCCCATAGCTGGCCGCCAAACTGAAGCAAGAACTTGTTGCATGATGTCGAACTTGAACGGTTTGTTGGTGAGAAAATGCCCAACCACTGTCCATGTGCGAAAGTCCTCAACCGGGATTGCCAAACCACCGTCTGGAACGAAGGAAAGTCCATCCTCCTCCTCCTATAAAACTAAATTGGAGATTGCCGCATCAAGAGTTTGCAATCCCTGATCCTCCATAGCAGAAAAATGAACATAACAAGTCCAATTGAAGGCAAGAGCAGAAGTCGATTAAGAAAACAGATGACAAATGGCAATTTCTTGATTGAAGAAGCACCCTAGCCGCCAGGGAGAAAAAACCCTAATCAATAGGGAGAAAAAACCCATTCTTTTTGCCCTAATTATTATTACAACAATAAAATCATTTAATAATGGCCAAAGTTAATAGTGTAGATTAACGCGGAACACACTACACTTAAACCTTGGTGTTACATGAGTTTTCAAAATGCTAAAGCCAAAGGATTGTTCCAACAGCACATTTAGTTTCGTTCTTCCTTTCTTCCTTAGCGATCGGCTCGACTCTGCTTGACGAGCAACGCGATGGCAACAATGACCGGAGCAGTGATGATGGCCGTGGATTCGGCTAAATTAGGGCTTGTGGCCGCCGGAAACACTATGCTTCCGTACTTGATTGCAGCTGCGGCCACCACTGATCCGGCACCCAATTTCACCAAATACTCCAAATCCTCCTGCTCAATTTCACGCTTTTGATGATCAATCGACGGAAATATCAAGTTCGTGCAAAATTAACAAACCATGGCGTATACAGATCTGTAACCTGGGGAACGAAGGCAGGGTTTCGTCGGCGACCCGATTCGGTATTCGGAGCCTCTCGTTTGGGATCCGATGCTCGAGATATGCTGATCGGCGTCGCTACTCTCGGGTGGCGGTATGGTATGCGAAGGCCGGGTTTGTCAGCTGCGGCGATCGGAGAGAATATGATAGGGTGCTTACTGGCGGCGGCAGTTGGTGGTCGTCGCACCACCGTCATACCCATATCCATATTGAACTTTGAAGATGCACCACACGCTGCTCCGCAAAGGCTATGACAAGACAACCTACATGATTTGCTATTTGTTACAAATTTTTTCGGATCTGTTCATTTTATGAATGAAGGATTATGCTATGTGTACCCCAAGTTTTGTACCCCAATTTGCACCAATACTTTGTGTTGGTGTAAAACTAATTTTTGTTAAACGTATCAACATTTGTGTCCGTGTGAATTTTTATTAACGCACCAACACTTGTGTCGGTGTAAACCATCGAAATGTTTATGCAAACATGTGGTGTACAAATGAGGTATATTTTTTGGTGTAAGTGTAGCATAGTCCATGAATCAATTAGGATGATGAAGTTTTGGATAGATTCTTTAAAGTCTATGGATTATACAAAATCTATGAATTGTTTTAATTTTATGCAGAGTTTGATAGATTTTGATGTATTTTATCAGCAGGATTTTATAAGATTATTTATACATAAATATGAATTATTTTATAAATTTATACATTGTTGGAACATGAACTATTGTAATTAGCTATTAAAAAACTTTGTTTATGAAATCGACAAAAAACTTAAAAATAATCTAATAAAATAAAAATAACTATTTTTTTAAATAACTAACTTTTTTTAAAAAAAATATTATTGTCGTAATATATTTATTAGAATAAAATAAGCAATAATTTTTTTTGCATCTGATGGTGTAAATTATCGACCAGTATATCGTTTTTAGCCGGGCAAAAATGATAAACTAGTCTAAAAATTCACCAAAATATAAACACGGAGATTTTGACGTGGAGACCCAAATCGGGATAAAACCACAGGCCTTTTTGGCGGTACCATACCAACGGGGGATTTTTATTAATATCGGGGGTGTGTACATGGTACATAGTTTAGGCTAGGAAGCCATTAATGAGCTTTTGAGCTCTTGAAGAAGAAGAAAATATACATACTAAAACATTCTAGAAAGAGAAAGTGTAATGAGCAGGGAGAGTGAATTTTTTGGCCCCCCTTAACATTGAGGGGGAGCCCTCCTTTTATAGGAGTAGCTGGAGCATCTACGGAGGAATATTCTATTATTTCTCCACTTTATTAAACATATTCGGTTTGACTGTTTTTCGTAAATAATTAGGAAATGTGGGCCAAGCCACGTATTATTTTCCATCAAGAAGCCCTCCACTTTTTTAAGTTGTGAGAATCATCAATTTAAAAAAGTAAATAAGTCCTCTGAGTGCTATCTTCAGTGTTCGTACTTTGGATTCTTGGCCGATTGATATTATTGCTAGTCCTCTGAGTCTTCATTAATTCTTTAATTTCTTGAATAAGAAGTTTTTCCTGCAAAAAATAATATGTACAACATTTTTTTGACCGGCCTATGCCGTGCTCAAATAATTATTATCTTTACCGAGGAGCCCGGTGTTAGGTGATTAAAATTCGCGTGAATAACTACTGTAACGAGAGCGATGTCAGTTCGATAAAGCAACGATGCTTCGAATAGTTATACGACACCAGAGTTAGTACGATGAAGTGGCGGTACTTCAAGTAGTTATTTCGTCAAGACCGTTGTTAGTACGATGTATAGGGAAATTAGTATATTGAAAAGATTGACGTTACTTAATATGAATTAGGTACGCTGCAGCAGCTTTGTCGAAGATCGATGTTAGCCCGGCTAACTGATGCAAACATCTTCATGTCATGTAGAGACCACTTCTGGAGTGCTTTGTACAAAAGGCCTGAAGAATCGGGCGTCCCCGATAAAAGCTCAGATGAGACACCGGTGTACCCAATTCGATTGGGTCAAGACTTATGAGAAAATATGTGCAAGACCGGTGTGTGTATCATTCTTGGCCTGTCTCGCGCACAAGAATGATATTTACCAGCGTGCCAGGCCGGGCCTGTGTCACATATTTTAATATTTTTTTATTATACTGAGCAAGACCGGTGTAGTAACCAGCGTGCCAGGCCGAGCCTGTGTCTCAGTCTTCCTCTTTTTTTAATTGTAACACCCCAACCCGCGTAACCCGAACCCGTGAGACAGCGGACCAGTGTGCCACTGGATTGGTATCCGAATATACAACATTTTCAAAACAATTTAAAACAAACATTCTATCAATACTTATAAAAATCCATCGGAGTAATTTAAAATAATGCAGAAGCCTTTTAAATTCAAACAACTTGGGATCTTGCCCGAAAACGTAATAAGCATTAAAGTTAATTAAATAAAGCATAACTACAGATTAAAGAGACAGCCACGCCATCGTACATCTCCTCCTCAATGCCCTCCGGGATCGGCTCTAGGTTCGTCTGTCTGATCACCTACGGACAGCAAAAAGGAAAACAACGCTATCCGCTCAACATTGACGCTGAGTGGCACCCCATTGTAGCACAAGAATAAACATAATAATTCAATAATTAAGATCGCGCATATGTTTATCCTTTTAATAAAAATCAATTCAACTTTAAATTCGGTTCTTTAGACGGTTGACCAACAGTCAACTTATTTTCTTTCTTTTCAAAACGATTTAGGTGTTAAGGATTCCTCATTAACTCTTTGACCACCGGTCAAACCAATTTAGACTTTCACGAAAGTCAAACCACTTAACATTTATTGCCTATGACGGAG